TAGGCTCGTCGCGGCGATCCTTTTGAACTGCCGGCAGCCACTGTAATATTTAAACCAGATCAGTTCCATGCCGCCGCCGCCGCCGTCGTCGCTGAGAAACTGCCATTGAATGAGACCTGGAACCAGTTTGTTCTAGGGAAATATACCACAGCTTTGCTAATGAAAGGCAAACGAATGAAATTTTAACGAGCCCACATAAGCCGTAGGATTTAGGCATACACTCCTACCTTCCTTTGACTTGCCTGCGCCCAGGACCTAAGGACCTCCGGACCTCCTGGGTTGTTTGTCCCAAAAAGGTGATAACGCCGCCGTTTTGTGTGCGCATCCCTTTTTCCTTCAGCATATACCGAATTTACAATTTATGTCTTATGTCGATTATTAACATCCTTTTAGCGAACGTCTTAGAAAGTCTTCCTTCAGCTCACGCCTTACATAATACGTTTTCAATTCACAAAGAGTTTTGCGCATGGGAAAGTGCATAGACAGTAGCTGGCTGCTGAGAAAATCCTTTTATTAAGTGCAAAAAAGTCTGTGTGAAAACTATTTCCGGCTTGATAATGCTTTACTATCTGAGAATTTTTTATAGTAACTTCCTTGAGATTCATTTTCTAATAAAACGTGTCTTAGATACAGAATTCATATTTAAATATAAATATTATAATATAATCATAATATTTTCCGTCAAATAAAGTTCACTTCATTGATATTAAAAATATTCTATATTATTTTAGTATGATTTAAACTTTTTAAGCTCTAAAAAAACACCTGATATAAATAAAAATTTATATGTTCATTAACTATGAATCGCATATAATAATATTGTTAAGGACTATAAAGGAAAGAATATGAAGCAAATAGGATCTATAAAAAATTGCAAATTTCAGCAAATTTTTTCCATCAGATTTTTCAATTTCTTTTTTTAAATTTTAATCTAAAAAGGAAGATTAGCTTAAATATAATAAATACTATTTGGGGCATGCTATCAAATAAACTACAAATGTTGCCTATAACAATAATGTTCTGCATATCACTCTATAAGAAATTATTTAAGAAATATATAAATTATGCAAAGCTAACCCCAACAATTTCCTACTTTTAAACCGTAAAGCGCTGTAAGACCTTCCATCAAACAAAAATACTGAAAATTAAAAACCTGAAAAGACATGAATATGGAAAGTCAAAGCAATAAGTTGAATATATGAGAAACTCAAACAGAGATGAATATGAATGAAGAGCGAGGGCACTAAAGAAAAGCGTAGACAAATGTTTGCGTGTGCTTAGAAAATGCGCTGAAGTATGCACAGCCAGGTAACTGAATGCCAATGACAAATTTATGTATAAACTTTAGCGCTAAAGTGCCACTAACTAACCCATGCAAACACACACACAGGCAGGTCGAGTGCAATGGCACGACGAGGCGCCTGGGCGTATGCTTTATGAATAGAGCATACAAAGTGCAATTCTATGAATAGAGAGGATGCCCCCAGAGAGAAATAGAGATGGAGCGGTATGGGAGGCGGGGGAGTGTGCTTGCCTCAGGCTCGCCTGAGCACTTACAATAAGCACTCCCGCGTTGATTATTATTAAAGGCGTCCATTTCAAAAGAGCGAAGGAGCCTACGACAATGTCAATGTGCTGGGCTCTGCGCGGCTGCGGCGCAGCTTTTAATGATTTATTTGAGAAAATTTACATGTGAGCGCCAGCTCAAAAACAAACAGAAGATGAATGGAACTCACACACACACACATACACTCAGACACACACACATGTGTACGTTTTCATGAATATGGAACTGAGGCACGGGCTGCGGCTGCGGCTGCGACTGCGACTGTAGCTGGGGCATTTTTGGATAGAAGAGATACAGTGAGCCACAGCAGCGCTGCTGCCTGTATTAAGTTGCCAGACCATGAAATTCTTTGGCACGTACGTAGCGCCAATTTTGCATAGCTTTTTTGCATAAACAAAGGAACAGGTGAGAAGCAGCTGTGCTGCCGCCACCTTGCCACACGCCTTCTCTCTGCCCATCTATCCACGTGTGGCTGTGTGCGTTTGTTATTTCAGTTACAATTCGCGCTTTCTCATATTCTTTTAACGATTTATCATGCGAAAATTGTCTGGTCGCCACTTTGCATATGCAAAAACAACGTGGGCTATTATTATTTAACTGCTCGCCTTTCTTCTTGCATTTCCTATTGTTATTTGGGGGCTGGCGCGCCTCCGGGCGGCACTACGTAAATTTAGTCACGTTGTTTAAATAATAAACTGCAGCGCAAAATTATGCAAAAATATCATCAGATTGCCCGGAGTTATGATGACAATGCGCATACGCCAGGCCGAGGGGTGACGGCTCCTCACTGATGCCTCGAACTGATACAACTTAATCAGTGAGACGTTAAGTGTGTATATATGCATTCGGTATTAAACTATACGCAATTAATTATGTCATATCGGCAAGTGAACATCTTTGAATTCGAATTAGCATGAAATATACACAAACCAACATCTCGATAAGACGCGTAATTTAATGACTGCAATCAAAAGTTCGAATGGGAAAATGAGTCTGATGAACCGTTAAGGCCGCAAACAGATATGCATCTATAAATGTGTTACAGTAAAAAAAATACAAGTAGTCACAACAAGTTGCATATATATATCAGTTCGATTCTTTATGGTTTAATGTTAGTTATAAAGTTCTGAATATATTTCCAGAATCTTGCGATAGCTAATGACTTAATCAAGCCAAGCTATTACGCGCTTCATAAAATGCATCAGCTCTAAGGTAATTCATTAAATATTCTTTACTTTACCATAATTTTTAATGATTTTTAAGACTGTCTGAGATTTTCTTCTTATCGCCTGCATGGCCACATAATTAGTATGGCCAGAGAGTCAGTTGTTAGCTAGCCATAACTAACGTACCTACTGCATAAGCTACGATAATTTGTATGTAGAACGAATGGGTGAAGCACTGCCTCGTCTCAAGTCCCGACCTCGACCTACAGCTATTTGTTACATTTTCAGCTCTGGCCCACAAAATTATTGCCAAAAAAGCAAGCAAAACTCTGGCAACGAGACGGGCACCTACTTTCGCCAAAAGGCAAATAAAAGGTGTTACCAAAAATAGCCATGCACCATATAAAGCAGCAGTCAGCAGACAGCACAAAGTTCCCCCCCAAAGAAACTCGCATATAAGGTCATAAAATAGTTGTCGCAACCTGGCGGGATAAGCATCTGACTGTGCCACAGACTCTATTCCTGTGGCACACACACACACTGATTACTTCGTTAAGTTGCATGTTGGTACAAATTGTTTCCAAAGAAAGGCAATGGAAATAAAAATTATTGCCCCAAAACAAACTGGCAAGGGTTAAAGGTAATCACAACGACATGAAACTTGTGAAAGGTGCTTGGATTGTGGAAACTATTAAGCTACACTAAATAAATAAAAGCGAAGAGAGAGAAGGAGAGAGACAGAGAGAGAGAGAGAGAGAGGGAGAGAAAATAGAAACAAGAAGAGCAACAAAATCTTACTGTGATTATCTCGAACAGAGTTTCTAGTTTATGGCGGATCCTACGATCCAGCGAGGGCAGACACATTCATTGGCTGGGGCGTGGAGTGGGGCAGACTCCTGTCAAATATGCAGCTCTTATCATATGTTGTCATCATTCGAAATGATGCACAAGTGTACCACCAGAGCCAACAGAAAATAACAAATTAAAAGCCACTTGCTGGGAACTTCATTAGAGAAAGTCACAGACGATGACCCGCAGATCCCAAGACCCCAAATGCCATAGGCAGAGCCAAGACTCTGTCTCAGCCTCAGTCCCTTTGTCTACTAATTTTTCTCTCTTTTTTTTAGTAGCTATGTTGTTTTCTGTGTTTTGTCAAAGCTAATTAGTTCGTAACAAACATTAACAATGCATGGCAGTGACGAATATATGATCGCCTTCGAGTCAGCCAGTGGCCCAACATCGCATCGACTGCATTTCAAGTGTGAAAAGCATATTTTTGTCTTTCGTGGACGAAGTTTTTCTGTGTAGTTTCTTCGGGCTAAGTCATTATGGCATTGGCATTTGCATAATGTGCGTATTATGCGTATTAATTACAGCGCCGACATTTGCATTTAAACGCCTATTTGCTGAAGAAGCTAAGCAACAAAAGGCTGGACAATCGGTGGTGGGTCTTAAGACCCAGTAGCTAATGCCAGCCATGAGCCCAACTATAATTATTAAATTAAAAGACAATGCGTTTGCCCTCGCATAGACTAAAGACCTGCGAGATGCGTACGTTGTGATAGGTGGAAAAAGCGACCACCCGAGCGTAGAGAAAGAGCTGGAGATCTAGCTGCCAGATGGATGTGGAGTTAACACAAAACCATAAATAGAAAACAAAAAGAGTTATTATGTACAAATTTGCATAAATTTCACGCTTGACACTGAACTGATGCAGAGAGGAAATTGTTAGAATGCTACGAATGCTGTTTTCTCAGGCAACTTTTTGTTTTGTAAGTATGAAAAGTCTGAAGTAATAATTTCTTAATCACTGTTTGCCGTTCCATGTGGGTGTCCAAACCGGGGAAGTCATTTGTCTTGGATAATATTTAGAATTCCAATTGCTATACAGAAAATCTTAAAGAATAATTTATTTTGATGCTTAAATGAGCTAAAGGCAAAGGTAGAAAGGAATTGGCTTCCTCGATGATCATTGGCTAAGTATACACTTAATTTAAAATATTTTTTTATTAATCAAAATTTTGAAATTAATATTCATAAGTATGTCTAAAAGAAAACTTGACTTTCGACCCGAAAAAAGACAGAAAAAATTCGGGGACAAAAGCAAATTAAGCCATTCCATTGGCTTTGTAGATTCAGGTGACGAGTTGGAAACTAATTTATATTTTGGCAGATTTTTAGCAGTCTAGTCAATTACATTACAATTGTATACATAAAAATACCAAAATGTTTTGATAATAAATAATTTATTTAATTTGCCACAACTTTCAGCCCAATATCTTCAGAAATTCACTGCCTAAGTGCTGCACATCACTAAAGTGCGCCAATAGAGATTTCGGGCAATTAGCATAAATTTGATCACAATCAGCACCCGCATGTCCCAGTCGCTCCGCCTGTAGGTAATCGTTATCCGTATGCTCTGATAGAGCATCTATTGAGCTTGAAGGCCTTCAAACGCACAGTTAATCAATTCATAGCAAACATTTCGCTCTCTACTCACGTTAGCAATATGTGCAGCAGCTCACCCAGCAGTCCGTTGCGCTCATCGAACGGTGCTGCAGAGTTCTCGCAGAGGCTCTTCAAAATACACTGTCGTCCATTGAGATTCATGCGTATTGCCATGGTCTCAAAGCTTTTGTAAATGGCCCAGCGATAGCCACTGAGAGCATGTGTGGTCTCATCCATATGGCTCGTAGGTATGCCCAGTTCTTCGTCGGTCTTTTGCATAGTCTGCTGGAATATGGTGGCATTATCCGCGAACTGTCGTTCGGTTATACCGTGAATATCCTTGACGCGTAGTTGCTTGGCTCGGTTGGGTAAATAGTACTGAGCTTTCAACACATACCCAGAGGTAATTGATTCAATGTTTAGATCGTCCACGGGTATACCAAAGCCCGCTATGAACTGCAAAGATCATTGATTAGCAATCATATGAATCGGCTCAACTGTTGCTTACCGACTTTAAGTCTAGCGGGATAAGAACTTGGATAGATGAGAGGCAGCCAGCGCGCCTTTCGCACCAATAAATCACTTTCATCGTGTAGCTCGGAGGAGAAGTTCTGATTGTAGGCAACAACCACAGTCAAATAACAGAATATTAAATGTAAGAGGAACATTATTATTTATGAAAATATCCTTTGCACTCCACCCAAGAACTAAGTCCGCACAGTTTCAGCTTTGACTGTCGTCTAAAATCACTGGCAAAGAAGCTAACTTACTTTCTATTTAATCGAAAACCGAATGACGAAAGCAAAAACGAAAGTGCCAAATGATAGAGGAAAATATTGGCACAAAAACAAATCAAGCTTCGTTGAAACATAGTAACCATGCACACTATATTGGACGCCAGTGTGTGCTCATTTTAGCTCTTTCAATGTGTGAGTTTTCTATAAACAGCAGATATCGCGTTCTATTAATTTACACCTAGAAAGTCTAAGAAGACTTCACAAATTACACTCAGCAAAATTCTTCGGCATTGTAATACATGAAACATCGTTTTTTTCCATATTTTAAACTAGAATTTTTAATACATTTCTTTGGAAATTTGACGTGCTCTAAATTGTGTTAAACAGTTGAGATATAGAACCATAATCATGTTAATTGGATTAAGATTCTTATAATTTGTTTTCTAAATAAAAGCTTCAATTTATTGTCTAAAATATAAAACTATCTAGATTGTCACGTAGTTGGCTAAAGTGCTGTAATAAGCTGCGTTGACACTCCTTGAAGACGCGATCGCAGCCGGCACCCGATTGGCCCACCTTCTCGGCATAGTAATACTCATTATCCGCATGCTCTGATAACTTATCCACCGATGAAGAGGGCCTAAAAATAAGCTAAGCTGGAGCACAACTGTGAGCACTACTTACGTCAAATAGCTCTACTTACGTCAATAGGACATGCAAGAGTTCTGCAATGAGGCCATTGCTGAAATGAAAAGGTTCCTCGGCTACCTCACAAATGCTTTTCAGTACACAAATTCGTCCTTGATAGCCCAACTTTTTGGCCAATCCTTCCAGGGCTTTATATACCGTCCAGCGATAGCTGCTTAGAACCCTGTTAGTTCTAGAGAAGAGCTTCTTGGTGCTCTTGCCCAGGTCGTCGGCGCCAACCAGAAAGTTCTCTAGCATCGGTCGATGTCTTCGTGCTCCTACAGATCCCAACGTTGGCACCTGATTAATGGGCAATGCGGTGGGTGTACGCAGCGAATCCGGCGTTTCGGGCAGCCAGTATTCCGCTTTCAGCACCCAGCCTGTTGTGACAGCCTCATAGTCGAGATCCTCCAGCGGTATACCAATGCCACCAATGAACTAATGGCAAATGCGTTTCAATTAATCACATACAATTGACATTTGCATCTCCTCACTCACCTGGATACGAGTGGGCGAGGTTGCTGGAAAAATTAGCCATGGTATGGGTGATCTTTTGCTACGCTCATACTTTGATAGACTGCCATAAGTAGCAGTCGTACTTGAGCACAAGTTACTTAGTATAAATACACACAAACAACTACCAACACTCAACACGACTCTCGTTTTCATTATGATCTATTTTAGATAGATATTTATATATATGTGTATATTTAAATATATTTATAATATTTCAATTAAATATCTTTAGACAAGACGCACGTTGTCAATGCTTTGCCCAGCAGCGCGTTACTGATTCTCAGGGCACATACATAAAAAAAACAAGATATTGTAGTTCTAGCAAACGCATTTATTAATGGTTCAAAACATGTAGGCATGACTGACTACCTGATGTCCTACAAAAACTCTATAGAAGTGAAGCTTTTTATGTATATTAAAAATGAGAATTTTTTATAGAAACTAGGTTTGGAAAATTCCTATAAACTTAAGCAATATAATTATATCGACTCATATTTATTTTTGCTACAACATGCGCTTTCTATAAATTCTACAGGGTATTTGAAATGATAATCTAAATATGAAAACATTAAGTTCTACTTTCTTGCTGCAACTTTTTGGGCAAAGAGAAATGTTAGAAATTCTATTAATTAGCGCCAACCAATTGACGCTTTTCACTCTGCAGAGACTTGGCTGCTGTGTTCTTTATGACCAAGTTATTTGGCCAGATCATGCGGAAGCTGTGAAAACTTGCATATTCCAGTTAGAGCCAAGTTCTTTGCATGTTTTGCCTTCATTTCATTCATAATTTAAAGTCTAGACAAAAAAATTGAGTGAGAAGCTCATGAATTAAAATTTTGGGTTTGGATTTGAGTTGAGTTTTTTTAAATATAGATTAATTTATAAATCTAAGAACATATTATTTAAATATATTTTAATAATAAATTTATTATTAAAACATGGGAGATACCTTTTTTTGTTGTTTTAAGTTAGTTTCACATTTTAATAATATTTTTATATAAAATATTTTAGCATGTAAATTATAAAATTCCCTAACAATTACGAAATTTTTTTAGAAAATTCTACTTTTTATGTGTTTTTATATATTTATTTAAAAATATTTTTATTTTTGTACTTATATATTAAATACTTATATTTCAAAATAACTTTTTAGTTTTTATATAAACATATAAGTGCCTAAATATACATAAATTAAATATTAAATATTTCTTATTTATTTATATATGAAAATATTTTCGTAGTTTTAAATTAATTACCTTCTGTACCTTTCATGATTTTTAATGCAACATGCATATAAATCTATTAAATGAAAGTTAGCTTGAGCAAAATTTCTCCCGTTAGCTATTCCAATTGTTGTTAAAAAATCACACCATTTAGTTGTCTTTTGCTATTTCTAACTCAATTGTGATATTCTTTTGCAACTTCTATGTACGTTGCAACTGAAAACTGCAAACAGTTCACTTAGCGCATTGCTCGAGATGAGTTCTAAGCCCAGCTACCTCCCAGTGGAAATCATTCTAATTTTGCTGTCTACTCAGCAAGCCCGTTCACTGCTTTTCTTTCCACGCGGCGGCTCAATAGGTGTAAGCAAAGTTGCCTTCAATCGATAAAACAGAAAAAAACTGATTATAAAAACTTCATTCATCATTCAGTTATTAGCTGCTGTGGCAATTCCATTGGATCTGACGTATCGCAATGTTTATATGGCCTTCAATTTTGAGTCGAACTACGGCTTGCCATCGAATGATTCGTACAATGAATGGATCGATAGGGTAAGTGAGCAGTGCTTGAATTCCCGCTGGGCTGCCATAATGCTTTTTAACTTAAAGTGGGATCTGGACGAGGGTTTCCTCGGCATTGGCAGCGATGTAACGCCCATAGATGGACGCACTGGCGATAACCTGGAGAAACGTTCGATTGCGGCACCGCCCCGGTTTACACGTCACGACTTCTACAGAGCGATTGTTAACTATTTGGGTCAGTATGGCTACAATGGCAGTGCCTGTTTGCTGCGCACCATCTGTGAGGTGAGCGCCGCACCGCTGGATGCCCACAACGGCCTATTAGGCAGCATATTCAAAATTCTATTCATGTAAGTTGGGGTTATTGAAGTGACCCCTTCCTTCGCTCGGACACAATTCCAGATCTAATTAGTGGCCTCACGCCTTTCACAGGCCAACAACAAGCGCCGCCGAGCTGCGACTCCAGCACGTGGACAGCCTCTATGCAGCTGCAGAGCTTGGCACGCGCAATCTAAACTGTGCTGATTACGTGGCTGGCTGTGCACACAGTATGCTGGACATGATAAGCGTTATGCTCTAAATCTAAAGTGTGCACATATGCACTCGGAGAATGCAGTCAACTGATTTCCCAAGTTTCCGCCTTAACAGAAGCCTTATAACAACTACGTCAGCTTATGCGCGTTAAGCTCATGTATAACAACAAATATAATGAATAAAATGAACTTTATAAAATAAATAGTATTCAATAAATGAAATGTGTGTCTTGCAGTCGGGTAACAGCTGCTTCGCCTGGGTACGTAGGTATTTTTATAAAAAAAAAATTATATATATTAAATTAATTAAAGATTAAAATATTTTTATCTAGAATTAATTTTTTTATTTTGATTTTATATTTTTTAAAATTAAAAAAAAAATATTTAAAAAATTTCAAAAATAATAATTGTTATCTTATAATAAAAAAACTAAAACTATAAAAAAAAAAAGAAGAAAAATAAAGTTAGCAAATTAACACTTAAATTTTAAAATAAAAAAAAATCAAAATAAACTATAAGTAAAATAAAATATAATTACTATAGTATAGATATTTATTCTTCCGTAAATTAAATATTAAAAATATATATTCCTTCTTTAATTTTTATTTATTTATTTATTGTATGCAAATTTTTTCATGTTTTACATTGGTTTTTGGCTTACCTATTTTTATTTTTACTTTTCTTTTTTATATTTTATTATTGTCTATATTAAACATTTTTTTTCTTTTACTAAAGAATATATTTTCTAAAAATTTATAGTTTCCAATGTTTAGTTGCAGCCTATGCCGATCAATCTATCATAATCAACAAATAGTTGCTTGGAGAGCCTTCATTAAAAACATTTAGCTACACTACACTAAAAATAACTGAATAAAGAAATTACTAAATTAAAATAAAACAAAAACTTGCATGTTTTTCTTTTCACAATAAACAAAGATTTTGCACAGTGTACTTTACTTAAATAAATGCGAAAATCTGTGGCAATGTTTGCATAACAAACAAGCAGCCAACAAATGTCGCTCGCCTGCTGCGTGAAATGTTTTAATTTCGCTTAAAGCGCTTAAGACACCGCATCGTCCTGGCAACAAAAGCAGATGATGGTGATGAGTAGGGTCTTAAGCTGGCCGCAAAGGGAATCCGCAAACACACACACATACACATCTATAGAGAATGGGTACAGAGCCTCGGTATGTGTTGATGCCTCGCGTTTTGTTCAAGAACAAGTTTTTATTTTCATTTTTTTCTTACTACTTTGGCAGCTCAGCGCCTCTTTGATCGCTTTTTCCGCTCCTTTTGTGGGCTAACAAAAAAAAGAGAAGTGAACTCCTTTTGTTTGGCGGTCTGAGCCCTGTCAACAATGCCGTACATATGTCCATACATACACTTATATGAGTTTCGAGACCAGTTCGTGTACTCCTTTTCTCTTTTTATTTATTATTATTATTATTTGGGCTGTTTGTTATTTCTTTGATTTGATTTGCCGCCTTAAGGGGACCTTGGCATTGTTTATAAGACGCTCTTCGCTCTTTGACGGACGGGTGAGAGGCGAATTACGCCTTCTTTGATTTTGCCAAAAAAAGAACCTATTGAAATCATAATTAGAAGACAAATGCTTTCAGTTCTTTTGGGCACAAAGGCCATGCAGCGAAGCTGAAGTACGTATTTGCGTCGTAATGTGAAGAAAAGGATTTCTAAAGTCTAAGTGCTAATAGAGGCAGCAAAATAAGTGTGCGCCGAAAGCTGAGGAAGCTATTTTAGAAGCAATGAACATGGAACTTACTTTCATATATTTATTTTGTAGCTTGAGGCTAGGGTTTGGCTAGGTTTGGGTTGATTAATGTAGTTAACCAGCGATCCAAATTCATTGGCTTATTCTAATACATGAGGGGGAGGGAGATGGCAAGCATCAATTAGTATCTCCAGCAAACTCATAGACTTGTTGAAGCCAAATATGATGGCCTTATAGCATCTATATCATCATCAAAAATCATGTAAAATCAGCTATGAATATTTTTTATTCCCAGACCCTATTTGCAACTATAACATATATTATTCAGTCAGACTTCTATGATTAACCTTATTCTGTTTTTATTAAATTATTGAAGCTAAACTTATTTGTTAGCCTTTATAACCAAATTTGAACCAAACTCCCTTAAAGGCGCTACTATCTCTGATCTTATATGCTGTCTCATAAAGCAGTTAGTTAACCAGCTGCAATAAACACCCTACTGAGCAGTACCTCTGCCCGTCTGGCAAGTAAACAAAACAAAGTTTCTAGCAAATCACTCTTAAGATTATGTTCTGAGATCATTTAAAGCTGGCCAGGTGTGAGTCGATATCGTCTGGTCTATAAAAATTGCACTTCCCATGCCCACTTGAAGACTTCTCTCTTAATGAGTTTGTTAGTTTGCAGCACATGAAAGTCGCTTCGCTGATTTATGGGGTCTAGTTTTCATTAGCTGTTCTTAATTATGCTTTAAGTTCATAGCAGCATGGCATATATACACTAACATTTAATAGAGTTGTCAAAAGGCAACCACATAAAACGGCAGGTGGCTGTGGCTTCCCGCCTGCCAGCCTGCGAGCCAGCCGCATTCATTTCCTGTGGGGAATTGGTTTGACTTGCCTTGGTTTTCATTTGGAGCTGCTACAAATTGATTTGTAATTAGTTGCAGTTGCAGTCAACAGTATGATTAACTTGGCATTTGGCGTGGCCGACAGGAACAGCCCACTGCAGTATGTAAAACAAGAGCAGCAATGGAGAGAGAGAGACGTCTAAGGTTACAAAGCCACAGTCACAGCAGCAGCCACAGCTGTGCGCAGGCGTGGACGTGTCTCCAGGAATTATATATCCACTTGAGCGCTGACTGGCATAAATTACACTAAAAGAATGCATTATCCTTGGCATTAGCCCAGGCAATTGACAGCTCCTTTAAGTAGTTGGCTCCCATCTGACATGTGAGGGCGTTGCTGCTGCTGCTGTGGCTTACCGGCCATGTGTCAACAAATGTTGAGCTGCCTCGAAAGTATCCATAACAACATCGTATGTCGAGTTCTACCCAAAAATCCTGTCTGTTGACAATTGACAATTGCCATAAATCAGTGCAGCACGCAGTGCATTAGCTATTCCATTTCAACGCCCACGCGGATGGCGTGGCTCTGTCATTGTTACATTTGCACTATTCGGTTATTAAATTAGAGCGTAATCCACTTTGACACGCGCATATGAACATTAATTGAATTCACAAATGAGCAGTTTATATGAAATTATATATTAACTAATTAGCATGTCGGTTATTATTATTATTTTTATTATTTAAACTGATATGGCTGAAGTTTCTTTTTTTACACACAATTGGATTAAGTGCATCAAATGAAATGGCATTTAAAATGCCGCTTTCACTATAAAAGCACGCACATGCCCGACATACCAATAAAATCCATTTAAATGTTTGCGGGTTATCCAGCTTAATTTTAATTTAGTTAATGAAATGTTTTTGTTCATGATTTAAACTCAAAAGAATGAGCCCAAACAACGTGCTGAGCGCGGCAAATACACATAAATTATAATTTTTATTATTGAAATAACATTTATTATTCAGGAGCAGCGAACAAACCGAAATTGCAAAAGGAATACAGAGGGGCTTATCTCTCGATTGCTATGTAAATACTATATATTGAGCATATTATTTACATTACTTAAATATTTATATATAAATATTAATCATAATCAAACAGAAGTTGTTTAACAATTACTTTATAATATATAATATATAAATCTACTAAAGTTCGCAATTTCTTTTGCTGAGAATGATTCATTGGAAATGCTATTGAAGGCTTTAGTGATTTAAAATGTTTGCAACAGTCGAACGAAGACCAACTTTTCAATCGATTAAAACCAACTTTGCATCTGAAGCTTGTAACTTGTGTAGATTCTCTTAAATTATGCACAAAAGGAGAATTGTCAATTAGTCTAAAATAAGATAAAACTATTTTTAGAAGTTAAATATATCTTATAATTTATAAATTTTTATTTTTTAGCTGAGGCAAAGGATTTATCAATATATATCTATAAATATAAACAAAAACTATTAAAACAACAGTTCGCCTCAATATCAGGGTATTTACTAGTCAAGCATATGCAACTATAACACTTGCTAGGAAAATCTAATTAACATTCTTAGACTATTTCCATTCATCAAAAACGTATCTTATAAGCATTTCTCGCATACATCTTTCGATTAGTTACATTTGACTGACTTGCTTCAAGTTTCTTATCCAAGAATCTTAACTATTCTGTAAGCAGCAGCAGCAGCATATCGAATTGCTGAGCAATGCAGCAGTCCAATCATTAGCTGTTGTCACTATGTTCCCACAATGCCTGCACCTTATCGCCAACATCAACAGCCATCAAAATTCATCGTTTTCATTGCATAATAATGCAAGTGGAAAAGGTCATATAGCGTTGGCCCAACTCATCATCATTCATATTCATGTATACCCTATATATATATATATATATATATGCAGAAATTTGAGCGCCTTCCCCCAGCAATGCATTCATATTTGATCGATTGCAGCGCTTCCAAACTACTTTGACATTAATTGACTCCAAATATGCACAAGCGCATGAAATTATGAAAATCTTATTAAAGTCAACCAGCCAGGCGAACACTGAATGAGCCTTTTGTTGCCCAAAGACCGAGAAAAACTTGTATAAAAAGAAATAAAAATTTACCGGGCAAACTTCATAAATGCTAATGTGCCTGGCTGCCTTGACGGGCGGCTAAGAGATGATTGATGGACCTGGCCGAAGCGACGAAAAAAGTAAACTGAGTTGAGGTTTCTATTTACTATTGAGTGCAAAATTATGCGGTGCACACCTACCAAGAGTAGCACAGAATAGGATCAAGAAGGAACGAAAATCTCATCGGTTGCCTTTAGGGCACATTTTTTCGGCAACTCCTTGATCCAATTTAATCCCACAGCTTAGCCACAACGAGCTGGACTTAAGCGTCTTAACGCATGTTGCAACATGTTTACCAGG